AATTCACATTATCTCAGTGAGTTCTTCCAGAATCATGTAATGACAATTTGCCTTCAGAACTGTGACGTAATTTTCTCGCCAAAAACTGTTAAATTCAGAAAACAAAAATCGCACGATTGTTTAGGATAAAAAGTTCTATCCTTGTGTAGAGTTTGAGCTCCATCGAATAAAACAGCAAAATGTTTTACTGAGAGTGCCGGTTCAAGCGCTCTGCTGGCCCGGCGTATAGCTAGAGTAAACGATGTCTTTCAGCTATTTAGACTGAAAGGTTGACAATAAGTCACTTTGTTTATGCTGTGTGCGCCTGAGTGAATGATAACTTGTAGCAGTGCTTGGGTGTTCTTCCCCAAACACTTTAAGCCTGATATCAAGTGCACGCTGTTTAGACAGAAGCGCTGTGGAAAAGTCGCCTACTGCATGTTGGGTGACCCCGAGTGATTGGTAACTGTCAGCTGTGCTTGAGTGTTCTTCCCCAAACAATTTGAGTCTGATGTCAAGCGCACGCTGTGTAGACTGGAGAGCTGTGGTAAAGTCACCTTGTTTACGTTTTACTATCCCGAGTGCATGGTAACTGTCAGCTGTGCTTGAGTGTTCTTCTCCAAACATTTTAAGCCTGATTTCCAGTGCATGCTGCGTAGACCGAAGAGCTGACGGAAAGACGCCTAGTTTAAGTTGTGTGACCCCAACTGAAAAATAGCTGTCAGCTGTGCTTGAGTGTTCTTCTCCAAACAGCCTAAGCCTGATATCAAGAGCACGCTGCGCAGACTGAAGAGCTGAGGAAAAGTCGCCTTCTGCATATTGCATGACGCCAAGTGAATAGTAACTGTCAGCTGTGCTTGAGTGTTCTTCTCCAAACAGTTTAAGCCTAGTATGAAGAGCACGCTGAGTAGACTGGAGAGCTGAAGAAAAGTCGCCTAATGCATGGTGTGTGGACGCGACCGATTGGTAGCAGTCAGCTGTGCTTGGGTGTTCTTCTCCAAACAGTTTAAGCCTAATATCAAGTGCTCGCTGTCTGGAATGAAGTGCTGAGAAAAGGTCACCTTGTTTAAGTTGTGTGATCCCGAGTGAAAAATAACTGTCTGCTGTGCTGAAGTGTTCTTCTCCAAACAGCTGACGCCTGATATCAAGTGTACGCTGTGTAGACTGAAAAGCTGAAGAAAAGTCGCCTAGTGCATATTGTGTGACCCCGAGGGAATGGTAACTGTCAGCTGTGCTTGAGTGTTCTTCTCCAAAGAGTTTACGTTTAATATGAAGTGCACGCTGTTTAGACTGAAGAGCTGAAGAAAAGTCGCCTTTTGCATGTTGTGTGTCCCCGAGTAATTGGTAACTTTCAGCAGTGCTTGAGTGTTCTCCTCCAAACAGTTCAAGCCTGATATCAAGTGCACGCTGTTTAGACTGAAGTGCTGAGGAAAAGTCGCCTTTTTCATGTTGTGTGTCCCCGAGTGATTGGTAACTGTCAGCAGTGCTTGAGTAATCTTCTCCAAACAGTTCAAGCCTGATATCAAGTGCACGCTGTTTAGACTGAAGAGCTAAGGCAAAGTCGCCTTGTGCATGTTGTGTGTCCCCGAGTGATTGGTAACTGTCAGCTGTGCTTGAGTGTTCTTCTCCAAACAGTTCAAGCCTGATATCAAGTGCACGCTGTTTAGACTGAAGAGCTGAGGCAAAGTCGCCTTGTGCATGTTGTGTGTCCCCGAGTGATTGGTAACTGTCAGCTGTGCTTGAGTGTTCTTCTCCAAACAGTTCAAGCCTGATATCAAGAGCACAATGAGTAGACTGAAGAGCTGAGGCAAAGTCGCCTTGTGCATGTTGTGTGTCCCCGAGTGAATGGTA